ATGTGTGTGTCGTGACGTAATAAGATTTTGAATAACTCCCAAATTTTTGAGCTGATTCTTGTAAAAAATGGTATGTAGGTGCACATAGACCACTTCTCTGACATACATTCCGGCTTTTTTTGACAAACTCAAAATTTTGGATTTTATAATTATTTTTCCAAAAAGTCAGTTTTTTTGAAGAAAAAATTGAGCCAAAATCCAAAATTTTCACACAAAAAAACGAAATACCCATTTGATAGACAAAGTAGAATCACGAATAACCTTCTTTGTTGCGTTTGATTCCTTTAAAAATGAAGATGTTTATGGTGTTTGAAATTTTGCCGTTTTTTTTAGGTGAAAATGGCGAACATGACGTCACTAAAACGTCGCTTTCTCAAAAAATTTCTGACGGATTTCGCTCAAGTTTTCAGAAAACGTCTTAGCCTTCGCCTCAGTGGGGGGGGGGGGGGCATATGTTACCACCCTGTCGCGTTTTTGCGTGTGAATAAAAAACCGCGGTGCGTAGCGCCGCGCCGCTTGGGGTAGCTTTTGGTGCATCAATTTTGGACAATGTGTGAAATTTTTTACCCCAGGTCATGTCATGTCAGGTCACCAGGTCAAGTTATCTGACCAAGCCTAAAAAAAAGTTTGCAATCATGTCCAGCGTGCAGTGTTTGTCAGAAAGGTTTCAAACTTGGTGGATTGCATGATGTTATGGACGCCTACAATTTGTTTATCTCGGATTTTTTATATCCGTGACCTAAGGTCAGGTCAGTGGCGTGACCTTCCCATTACAAGTCAAGGGAGAAAAATGAAAATGCCTCTAGATCCGTATGTACGCATAGGAACAGTCCAAATATTTCAGAATCACAATGATTTGGACCACCCGTGATGACCAAGGTGTCATTTTTGCTGATATGCCTCTAGAAAGGTCATCCGAGGTCATTTGAGGCTACAAACAGACTTTTGCCAATAACTCGCGATTGGAAAGAGATAGAACGCAGAGGATGGTCTCATTGTGTTTGTCTCGTTGAAACGCATCGACTGATATGCAACATGACCTTTTCCGGTCAGGTCATGACCTTGACCTGAGGTCAAATTTTCAAGTTGACCGTTCAAGGTCAAATTATAGCTCATTCGACGCGTCTCGGCGAGAGGAACACGATTCTGGCAATAGAAATGTAATGGCTTTTTGTAGTCGAAAGTCATTGTCAAAAAACACTTTTCGTAAAACAGCTATTTTTGGAGTTTTTGCCCTCTGGAGGCTAAACCGTTGATCTGAGGTCAATTTTGATAATGCCCTTATCAAAAGAAGAGTTCAAAAGCTATCGATTGCTTTCCCATGCGTTTTTCTAGCTACCATAGTTCCTGAGATAACGGCATGTTTTCTGAAAAATATAATGACTATTGGCAAATTTTGACCTTTGATGACCTCTGGTGACCCCAATATTGCTCTAAGATGAAAAATGACTGAATACTTTCAAACGTACGCATGGAGAGCTATCGACTGCTTTTACCGCGTCTTTCTAGCCCTCTTAGTTTTTGAGTTAGAGGTGGGTGGTAACATATGCCCCTCCCCCCCCCCCACTACGGCGAAGTTGGCTGAGACCGCCACTGGGGCGCGGGTTAACCTGCGGTTACACGGTTACACGGTTAAATTTTCAATCGTTTCTCTCAAAATTAATAATTTTTATCGTTTCGACAACTTTTTGACATCAGTTTTTACTTTTTATCATAGCTGTCACCTCTCACGCCCTAGTTCATGTTGAAAATGCCGTATTTTGTCAATTACACCACAAGTTCGTAGCCTAAATGGCAGCTGCATTACCTATAGGTTTGACGAGATAAATAATTTGCGGACTGACGACAGCGGGCTGCTCCCCTGCCTGGCATTAAACTCCTTCTTTATTGCAATCAGTTAATGATGCATTCATACTGTTGGGATACAATAGCTACACTACACCATTATTCTATTTGCGCCCCCCTGGCGCTATTGCCATGGGCGCAATTAAAATTGAGGAACTTTTTGATAAAAATGTAAAAGTTATCATATATAGGTAGGTACCTACCTAAATAGGTATGCTGAAGGATGTTTACTGTTTCAGTGAAATATAGGTAGTGAAAAAAGGTTTTTCTTTCTAAATACCTATCACTCTGAAAAGAAAATCACACACGGAGCTATCGCATATTTTTATAGCCAACGGTTCAAAATACCTACCTACCTACTGCAGAAAAGCTAAGAAAACGCCGTGATATCTTTGATGGCGTAATGAGCCCTGCTGATTGGCTTCGTCGGAGAGCTTGGGCCATAAAATGAATTATCCAGTGGTGAAAATATTGTTTTCGATCACAAAATTCTAAACATGCCATTGAATTCGTGGGAATGTTGGGGGGGGGGGCGCAATTGGTTAGGAGGGCGCAATACACCCACTTTTCCCTAGGTACTAGCTGAATCAAAATGCACCTATCTGAAAGAGCTTACAGAGAACTACATTTGTGCAATTGGCATGCTATACGAAATATGAACCGTCTTAACCCTCGCCCGTAAACGGCGATCTGCCACCTTCGCCCATGCAGGGGGGGGGGGGGGTTGGTGCGACCCCCCCCCCCTTGACGTTTGAAAACGGAGCGTCGTAGAGCTTAGCGGAAAAGACCAACGGATTGCTCTCGCCGAGATCTCGCGATTGGTGGTATATTTTTTTGGTCCTAGGTCAACATTTGACCTACTTTTGACCGGTCAAAGGTCAAATTTTCGGAAAAATAGACTTTTTCAACTTTCCGCGGCGATTGCGGCAAAATGGTGGGAGATATCGACTTGAAACCTTCACTATCGTGTTCCTTGATCAATTCTCTATCGTTTGGTATGTATTTCGTTTCCCTAGCTCTAAAAATGGCGGGTTGGGAGCGCCGGAAGTCGGCAAGGTCACAGTCGGCGGCAGAAATTCGAAAAATCAAAATTTAAATTTTTGAAATCTGATTGCATTTTTGGATTTGGGAGGTCCATTTGCTCCCTATAGAAGCTAATATTGCTGCATATTCCCATTGAGGTGACAAGAATTAGCAAAATAGTGGTTCGGGCGCTTTTCAAAAATAGTACCGGACGCTGTTCCTCTTGTGACGTCATAGCTCCGTGACCTGACCTGACCCGGTCAGGTTTCTTATACCATATAATAGCCAATACTTGCCCTAACATGCATGGGAAGTTTCATCACGATCCATCAACCGATGTCCGTACCACCGGCAGGAAACCTCGGGCGTTGGCACTTAGTTTGTGAAAATCCGGCCGGAGGCTGTTCCCTTTGTGACGTCATAACTCCGTGACCTGACATGACCCGGTCAAATTTCTTTTATCAAAAGATGCGCAAGGTTTGCCCCATAAGGTACCCAAAATTTGGCGGCGCTGCGCGCCGCCGTTTTTGCACTATTTCCGAAAAACCTCAGGGGGGGTTGCACCAACCCCCCCTACATGGGCGAGGGTTAACCCTCGCCCGCACATACCATTTTCCCATCCTAGAACGCACATGGGGGGGGGGGGTGGTTGCCACCCCCCGCGCCATTTCGTTCCTGTTGGAGATAGAGCTTAGCAGTAGAGACCAAAAAGATTCTTTGGGAAGAGACGAATCCAATGATACCCAGTTTTACCTTCTCAGGTCAGTCATTGACCTTCCAGGTCAGGTCAAACTAAAAAATGTTGCTGTTTTGGGTCACCGTTGGATATCAAGTGCGCTGCTTATCAAATACCGATGACGATGCTGTTTTCTGGTGCCAAGCCAGCTAGAACCTCTTTGCCACACTATCCAACCAGAATTTTGCTGCTGAGGTCATTTCAGGTCAAGTTAGGTCAAGGTCAGTTATATGTGTTTGTATGTCTGTGTGTGTCTGTGTGTATACTGATGTGTGCACCGATTGTTTTTGGGTCCATATCACACGAAATCATGATCTGAGAAGCTTTTACCAAAAATGCAGTCAAAAAACTGCACAAAAAGGAAATTCAGCTTGCCTAAAACGCAATTATCTTAGATGACCTAGGTTGACCTTGACCCTGACCTTGACCCCTGTACATCGTCGAGCAACATGTTCCATGATAGGTGGGAGGTAAGACTGGCAAAAAAGGCCGAAATCAGGGTGTCAAAAGCTCACAAGGCCCATGGCAAACGCAAGATGTTGAGAATTGGCCATTTGGGTCATGACATGACCTAAAAAACAAGGTCATATCTCCGAAACCAAAAATCACAGAAACTTGAAATTTTCAGTGGACATCAAGAAAGGATAGACGAGCAGCTATACGAAAAATCAGCCTTCTAGCTCTAAAAATGTTGAGTGCAGAGCAGAAAGACTGCCTGGGGGGGTGGCAACCACCCCCCCCATGTGCGGGCGAGGGTTAAAGGGATACCTAGTCCAAAAACTGTACCTACCTAGGTAAAATCCGTTTCAAATAGCCCCTCTTTGCGGTACCAGCTGCGGCTCGTAACGGCACACATCACACATGCTCTTCAATCCATCACCGCGAAGCTCTTAGGTCGACACCTAAAGTAGGTACGGGGCGAAACGGCAAAGGGAGTCGAAACTAGCACCCCCCCCCCCCTTCCCCAGCTCGGACCTCCGCCCGTCCGGCCTCCGGGCCCCGGGGGCCGGGGCCTGCCTGCGTATAAGTAAAGTAATCTTGGCCTGCGTAGCCCGTAGGCTTTTAGAAAACCGATGCGTCCGGTGAGGGAAAATATATTCCTGCCCGGGGCCGGGATGATTCAATAAATGTCACCGAGGTTTTTTAGCGAAAACTCCGAGGGCCGTTAGGCCCGAGGTGATTTTGCTAAAAAAAAGCGAGGCGACATTTATTGAATTCCCGGCCTTAGGGCTGGAAGGTGTTTCCCATACCTGCCAAAAAGCTCACAACGATAATTGATAGTGAGGTCAGCAGCCGTGTGGTTCAACGCACCCCTTGAACCACACGGCTGGCAATATTAAAGTATTGCATTAAACTTTGAAAAGTGTGGTACAGTGCACGTGCCGTTTAAATGCCTGGATGTCTCGATTTAATCATGCAATGTAGCAGGTATGGGAAGTATCTAGTAAGCACCCACAACCGTCCCTTCATTTCACTCTGCAGTCCTCCCTAGTCCCTAGCCTCCCCTCTCCTCCACCCCCCACGGCCGGCGCCGGCCCCACCTCCTCCCCATGGAGCATTACGTGTCGTTCCCAGGCGGCCGCCACCGCACCAGCTGTTAGTCTCCCTTTCGTCCGGCCCGTGGCCCGCGTTCATTGGTTGAGCTGTTCCACCAATAGCAAGCCGCCAATGCAGATCGTCGGCGACCAATGGCAGCGCTCCACGCGTGGCGGCTGAATGAGGAGACGGGAGGCGTCCGCGGCGGGTCGTCGGCATTTATCGGTGGTGTGTTGAGGTCGGGTGGTGAAACGCCGGCGTGTCCAAAATGAGAGTTTTGCTATTTATTGCACTGTTCTGTGTGGTTAGGAGTGAGGTGTTTTTCCAGGATAAATTCACAGATGGAGGTAAGTGCTTTTTCAGGCAGCGCCCACCAAAACGTTATAGTTTGTTGTCCATTTGGATTTTGGCACCAATTTTTTTGACAATGGCTGGATTATAATTAAAATAACCTGTAGTTTGCATGCACTTCTGCCATTTTATATTGTCTGTAACATCAGCATTGCAGGTTCAGTGTTGTAATGTGGACAAATTCAAACGGCATTCAATTGTTTATAGTTCTCACTTTTTACCTACATTTTTAGGTATACTTAGGTTCATCCTTTTCTGTTCTACATACCTAAGCAAAGGCAATAAAGAAAATGCTGTTATTCATACTGTTGTCTTGAGGTATTAATTCTAAAACTGTTTTGGTGGTTGTCATTTTATCCCCTTTTCCCAAGAGTCTTGACAAAAAGTTTGACTTCATTTTTTATGAAAATCCAAGTTTTATTAATTGAATACAAATTCTCTTAAATGTCCTAGGTTTCTATTACTCTCCCTTTTCATTGTAACTAACCTTGTAGCCTTGTTCAGGTTCTAAACTGTGTTTTGCCGTGTTTTTTGTGCTGTGCTTTATCCTTGGACAGAAGGATTGTCACAAATTGTGGGACTATTTTGTGCATAATGAAGTTTTGTTTTGAACAGGGCACTCCAGACCCATGTACTAGGCTACATGTGACCTTGTGTGTGCGGCTATGTGTGATGAGATAGATGCCAATACGCAGGACTCTTGGTAGGAAGGACTTCCATTGGTCATCATGCTTTTTGGAATTGAGCTTACCCTACCATTATAGTTAACTTTAGGGAGGAGAAGGGCATTGTCCCTGTTTGTATGACTGCTGGGCCTCTTAGTCTGGAGGTATTGCTAATGAGGTATTGCTGTAAGTGATAGGTAGCACCTGAGTATTTTTGTTTGAAAGTGACCCATTGCTGTTTCTCCTGCAGATGACTGGGAAAGCCGGTGGGTGTCTTCAGAACACGCCAAGGACCTGGGCAAATTTGTGCTGAGTGCTGGCAAGTACTTCTCAGACAAGGAAGAAGATAAAGGTGAGAACTTATCCTATTGCTATGTTCTATCTAACACTTGCATTGTACAAGGCAACATGTCATGCTGTGGGTGATCAGAATTGCCTGTGTGGGAGTAGCCTGATGTGGTTGTTGAAGACTTGTGGATGGTAAATAATGAAGGTTCCCAGCCCTGCTCAACTGTTCTTTACTGACTACTTCCCACACATCACCAGATTTCTCAGATCATGGTTAACGATCAGTGCCAGAAAAGGCACCTAAGCTAGGCATGAGCTGATGCAGTGTATTTTCTTGACTGATGCCTCTTTTCCAGGACTGAAAACTTCTCAGGATGCCAAGTTTTATGCCATCTCTTCAAAGTTTCCTGCCATCAACAACAAGGACAAAACGCTGGTTGTCCAGCTCTCTGTCAAGCATGAGCAGAACATTGATTGTGGAGGTGGTTACGTGAAGCTCTTCCCCAGCTCCCTGGACCAGAAGGACATGCACGGCGAGTCGCCCTACGCTATCATGTTCGGTCCGGACATTTGTGGTCCTGGAACCAAGAAGGTTCATGTTATCTTCAACTACAATGGAAAGAACCATCTTATCAAGAAGGACATCCGCTGCAAGGATGATGTGTACACCCATGTATACACCCTGATTCTGAAGCCTGATAACACTTATGAGGTAATTTTTGTTAACCCCCATTTGCGGTAAAACCTTGCGTTTTGTGATTTTTAAAGGAATGCTTCACCATCCTCTATAGGATTGTTTCATTCATTACCTATGATAAATTCGTTTATCGTTGCGTTTCGACGTTATCTGCTTAGTAACGTACAGGCTGTCTTCGCTGACTTGACTATGGTTAGAGGTTATTGAGTAATACAAAAATAATAAGTAAAATTATAGAGTAAGTTGCAATAGAGTAATTAAAATATTCGGACAAATAAAGCATCGATAGTCGATAACCACCTAAACACATTCCCCATGGTAATAACTGTCGATCGTCCTCAGGTTCTCATCGACAATGAGAAGGTCGAGTCTGGCGACCTGGAGGCCGACTGGGACATGCTGCCGCCCAAAACCATCAAGGATCCGGAGGCCAAGAAGCCGGAGGACTGGGACGACAACGAGAAGATTGACGACCCTGAGGACACCAAGCCTGAGGACTGGGACCAGCCCGAGCACGTCGCCGACCCGGATGCCACTAAGCCCGAGGACTGGAACGAGGACATGGATGGCGAGTGGGAGCCTCCCATGATCGACAACCCCGACTACAAGGGCGAGTGGAAGCCCCGCCAGATCGACAACCCCAACTACAAGGTATGTTAACGCTGTCCTCGTCTAAATCTGTTCGCTTTATTGATTCGGACGATTAAAGGGACCCTCCCACCTTCAAAAAAGTTTATGAATTGGCATGAAAGTGATGTCGCTCGGTTCAGAAAGAGCGAAAACGAATATCTACCAAATTTCACCGAAAAATATTCACCGGTTTTCAAGATATTTGACTTTGACTTTTGTTTACTTTTTTGGGATCTCCGCTGTTTCTAGCGACTTTATTTTAGAAGTGCGGCGTTTGCGGCAGATGTTGCGCGCAAATAGCATATACCACCGCGTGCTACAAAACGTTTTAGTCAAACATTTAAAAATCGTTAGATATTTGCGCTGACGTCACACATTCAGAGGGGTATTCCTAAGCATTAGCCCCTCTGAATCAAAATGCTGCAATTTTGAAATTCAATATTTCCGATTTAAGGCATTTCTCGATGTTGTGAGTTCCTAAACCGGTAATTGTGAGCCAGGGACCCCATTTTGGCTATCTCAACTCAAATCTAATGTTAAGGTGGGAGGGTCCCTTTAATTACGTATCGGCTGTTTCCATGTGTGCTTCGGGGCTAAGGAGCAGAACTGGGTCAGTTGTTTCTCTGTTTATTAAACAGCTATCCTTTCGATGGTCCCGATTGGTAGTACGTATCCTTCTGGAAATTTTAATCGTAAAATCCTTATTATCTCATTCAGTATTGCATACAATGTGCAGGGCATTCGTAACACCTAAATGCTTACCTTAGATACCAAAATAATGGCCTCTCGGCGATGTTACCTTTCAGCTATGTTGACGACCGACAAGTGACACATTATTTGTTCCGTTTCAGGGCAAGTGGGTTCATCCGATGATCGACAACCCCGAGTACGAGGCTGACGACACGCTCTACCTGCACGAGGACATCGGTGTGGTGGGCCTCGACCTGTGGCAGGTCAAGTCCGGTACCATCTTCGATAACTTCCTCATCACTGACGACGTCGAAGCGGCCAAGGCGGACGCGGAAGCCGTGCTGAAGCGCGTGGAAGACGAGAAGAAGATGAAGGAGGCTGAGGAGGAAGAGGAGCGGGAACGTTTGAAGAAGGAAGCTGAGGAGGCGAAGGAGGACGAGGGAGACGCCGACGAGGAGGAAGACGAGGACGAGGATGAGGACGACAAGAAGGAGGATGATGTGTTGGAAGCGCACGATGAGCTGTAGAGAGTTCCAAGACAGCTGTATTTAAACCGTGATATATTGTCCTCGTGTGGAGCTTTGTGTTGCCGGTACCCCGGCAGGACACGCCTTTGGGGCCGTGTCCGTCAGGAAATGCCACCTAGACGAGAGATTGAATGATGAGTGCAACAATGCGTGATTGTGAGTGCGGTGTTGTATGGATTGAGTCGTGTGACTGGGGCGTTGTCATCCGGGACGGGAGGTGGGGTTTTATTTGGGGATTCACCCGTGTTGTGTCACATACCCATTCGTGTATGTGAGATGTCAAGGCTCCCACAAACCACGTTTTTGTTTTGTTTATGCAAAATGTTATGGCAAAGAAATTTTGTTATGAAATCCATTGAGATTTGTCGTATTGTAAGCTCAATACAGTTGTGTTGGAAGTGAACCTTAGCGACTTTTTGCGTTCAGAGAGGAGTATCTGAGGGAGGTGTTAGGTAGAACTTCAGTCTGAGTATCTTAGCGAAGATTTTCCCTACAAATGGCTTCTATGGACAACCCCCTCACTTATCAAGATCGAATGGGACGTGCCGGCGCTCCACACCATAACCAATACAGCTCGTCGTTTTGTTCCAGCTGTCTGAAAAGGACTGGGGGAGGGGGTTAGGTTCGAATCCCAGCGCAGTCCAACTTTAGAGTTATGCACCAACTGCTCGTCAGCGCTCGGGTGGACTGGCTTTCGAAACAACATCCTGGGGACAGCAATGGCTCGGGTGCAGTGCAGGCTGCAGCACATGTCCTATGCTGAAACTGGTCTGTCATGGAGCTTCGGCGGTCAGGGCGCCACCTACTGCCTGCATGGTCTGCTAGCCAGCGCTATCTGCCTTCTGCACAGTAGGTACGCTTTGCTCAATGGCTGGATATGGAGAGGATGGCTCATTCGCAGATGAAACAGAAGAATGTACCTATTTCGACTTTACGGTTCGCTCATTGGTTTCTATGCCTAGTGAGATTGTTAAAATTCGAATGCGCTTTCTCGTTTTAATTTATAAATTGGGATGTGTCATGCAGTGTTGCTGTGTTCAGTGTAGGTATTGAATGCTGGATTGAACCCTCCTTCATCCTTGGCGCCTACCTACCTTTGATGTGACACGAAATTAAATTCACAGACAACTTTACATGGCAACAATTCTCAACAGGGGCGTTTCATGGAGACGATTGATGAAAAACCGTTGCATGTGTTTATTCGAGAAAAAAATGACCAGCTTATATGGAACATTGCTTTGTCCGGTCAAGTTCTATGGTATTGCCTTGGGTATTGCAGCTTGCCGTCAAATTTTTCAGTTTTGCATTTATAGGTCAAATAAGGAAGGAACTTAGGAATATTATTTGCACCCGTCATTTGGCGGGTCTCTGAGAAACGCATTCGGCACTCTTTATCTGCTGAATCGCAGCGTACTAACTTCGTTTTTATATGCAGTCATTCAAATATGTTAATGTTTTAGTACCTAAACACTATAAACCAATATTTACGTAACCCTCGCCGAATCCATCGATTTTCTACCTGGGGTTTTCTATCGGCCGAGGCGCGGTCAATACGACCCACTCCCCCTTCGCCGTAACGCTCCATAATTGAGCTAAGCGAAAAAACGAGTACCTATAGGCTATACATAGGGTAACTGACCTGTGGGGAAAACGCACCCCTGGGTTAAACGCCTCCCCTAAAAATCGTATTTCTTATCGACGGATAGGTGTTTTATCCTGTCTTTCAGAACAGTCAGCTGCTTTACGTAGGTCTCTATTTCCGGTTCTGCGTCTTAAGGAGCAGCGTGGGTAGGTGCTGATGTTGGTTTTGGGTGTTGTTTTTGTTGTTTTAACAGAAGATTCCTAATATTTTGATGCCCTCTTTATATCACAAAACATGCTATTGAGCACATCACTCAAAACTGCGTTTTATTGTCATTCTGTTGAATTTAATATGCTGCGGCGTTAGAGGCGCGTTTTTTTGTCAATATTTTGTTGACCGGAAATGGAGTGGATGGGGAAAGACGCCTACTCGATGCATGGGGCAAGACGCCCCCAGTTTTCTGAAAGGGGGGCGTTTTGCACGGTGGTGAGTGCAGGGTAGCGCCCTGTAGGTCGGGGCCGAAAAGGCCTCTCCCTGTCCTTTTTTGCTGATATATCCTAAACGACTGCAGATATATCGTCACCAAACTTTCAGGACTCCTCCGGGCATCCATTTTACATATTGCAACAAACTTTTATTCCAAAGGCTATGATTGGTTGACCACAAATGACGTCAGAATGACGCCAAGTTCTGCCATGTTCATCATGTTCTGTTGATGGATGGGGTTGGGGCGCCTTGCACATGGGTGTAGGCGTATTACCCAGGGTGTGGGGCAAAACGCCCGTTTGTAAGTATGCGAAAACCTTTTTGGGGGGTTAGTTAAATACCACACGCAGGTGTCTTTTCTTGGTCTCAAAGCGTAGTAAAAAGAATGAGCTGCATAATGGTGCCCAAAGATTTGAGTAATCTGTGTTGGGTTGAGTCATGGATTACCAACTACCAACTAGGGACTACTTCATCCATGGTTGAGTGCAGGGGCGGCGGATTCGGGGGGGCAGGGGGGGCAGCTGCCCCCCCTGGCAAATTCGTGGGGGGGCAAAAGTATCTTTTTGCCCCCCCCCCATAATTTGTGACAAAGCCTAGACAAGAAACCATATACCTGATTATGCTGTTCGATCCTCTGAAGATGTAACCAGATGCCCATATACTTTATCATACGTTGCCTTTCTTAAATGGCAAGCGTTCGCGTTCAATTGAAGTTTTCCTCTCTTCAACCTAGTTTTGGAGGCATTATAAGCGTCAGCGTGACGCAGCAGCAACCCAGGCCTTCAGTGACCGTTTACAGGGGCGACGGATACGGGGTGGCAGAGGAGGCATCGTCCCCTAAGAAACTTTTGGAGGAGGGGCAAACGCATATTCTTGCCCCTCCATAATTTGTGCCCTAAACATGAGGAAAATTTCCATAACCTGATATTGCAGCTATGCGCTCCTACAGTTTGTCCAACGGTGCCTTTTGAATATGTGTAAATGCTAACCATTTCCGCTTTATATCATTTTTTTTTTTGTCTTTTCAGATTCGATTTAGAGATATTTTAAGTGTGCAAGAGACGCAACTCATACCTTCAGTGGTCGTTTGCCGCTATTTTGTCCCTACATAAATGCCAAATCGCAAGCGAGCGGAGACTGAAGGGCTCTAGCCATTCGCTTGCGGGTAGTTAGGACTAATGAGCACTCATAATAAGCCACTCCCCTGATTTTTTTCGAGCGCAAGTTTCCAGCGCATAAAATGGTAAACGCCGAGGTCGTACACATTGACCACATTGACCAATGCACGGTATGGTATGACACCCAAAGGCCAGTCATCAGAGATCTGCTTTGGGCATTCGGAGGCTTGTGTGGGGCCAGTGTAAAAACTGGATGTTCACAGTTCAGTATCCGCTTTATTTCGATTTCACTATTTAAAAAGTAAATATTAATGTTGGAAACTTTTGAGGGTTAGGGCACTGATCATTAGTGGGCCCCCCTCTGTCTATAGGCTGGCTATAGAATAAAGAGCATCAAACACGAACAGTAGCGGCGGAACACCTTCAATTAAAGGGGGGGGGGGGGCACTGCCGACTTTTGGTCCCTTTCTTTCCTTGCAACGCCCATATCGCTAACGTTAAAATGTCAAAATCAAAGGGGGCACGGTGCCCCGGTGCCCTCCCCGTTCCGCCGCCTATGAATACGAAAGCAAAATCTAAGGCATTTGGGAAAAATGAGTATGCCCCGCAGCGTTCGATAACAACCACCTTCCAGTGGGTCAAGCCAACGGGGCCCAAGTCATATAATGGCACTTAACGACAGCACTAACCTTGTCTCACTTTTCGTTGAAGTCTGTTCCGAATGGTTTCGGCCACAGACTGACTGCACTGAGGTCGTTTGGTATGTGCAACTGTAATTAAATCCACCTGAGGCGCCCTGACCAGGCTGAAGCTGGGTTGGAAATGCTTCGTCTTTGCAGATACCACTGGCCGCTGATTCTCGAGTGCCTGAACCGGTAGATGTCGTGGCAAGATTTGGTGTGATAAGTTGAACCTTTTACCGCAGTCAGCGCACCCTAAAGCCCTAAGAAAGAAACGCCCCACCCAGAGCTTCTGGATTCTCGTTCCAGGCCACCGTTCCTTCACCCCAGCCCGCCGCCGCGCTCCCTCACCTCAGCCCTCCGTTCCCAGCTTGACGAGCGTTTGGGCCTTATTAAGCCTTGCTGTAGGCTTCTGGCTTCCTGTATAAACCCATCGAGACAGCCCGTCTCGGTGAGCTTAGTTGGCGAACTACTGCCATTGGGGAGGGTTTCTGGCGGATCGCTTTCCCAATAGGTTTAGATGCGACCGACTGTGTCTGAATGTTTGAGCGGTCTCCTCCCGCTGTGAGCTAGTTTCAGTTGATATCTGTCTCAGAAATACTTTTTAAAGGAAGGTTAAACGGAAATCGAACGTAAAATGAACAGAGGAAATGGTAACGAGTTACCTCATTGAAGAATAGCGCTCGCCTACTTCAAAAGGGTTGGCACCGTTCTTCAACATCTGATATGCGATCGGGTTATGGCACAATTTTTCCCATTGGAGCTTTTTTCTAATACAGCAATAAGAAAAGCGTTTCATCGTCCACTGGCGGATCCAGGGAACGGGCATTGAAAGCAAATATTTACTCCCCCTCCCCCTGGCCCCTGCATCGCCCGAAATAGACAAAACGTACCTTCCTTATGTTTCCTAATAATAACACTTTTATCAGGATTTTTTTTGCTTTACACTGTTCAGCAGTAGGTCCGTAAGGAATCGAAATCCGAGGAGTTTTTGGATTTTGGACACTTTTTTGGGGGGGTATATGTCCCATACAGCGTCGAAAACGCCTTTCTGGATCCGCCTATGACATCATCTCGACTGGCATCTTGCCCCCCCCACGCCAAAATCGAATCCGCCGCCACTGGTTGAGTGTCAGAAGGTTTCGCGCTTAAGGGGGGCGTTTTTGACCTATTCCCCCTATGTGCTATTCCGAGACGCGGAGACTGGTACCCAATTCTAATTAGCCCGCGCCGTGCTGGGGAGGGGGGCGTCCTCATGCTTCCTTCAGGTTTTTTCATGATATAGGTATCTAAAAAATGGCGGCGCTCCGCGCATTTACCTTGTAGCAGCAAAAAAACTTTGAAGGGCGCCACTGACACTGTAAGGGGCGGCACCAGCACTTTTATGGGCGGCAGCATCATTTTGAGGGGCGCCACCGACTCGTTGACAGGAGACACCATCACATTTAGGGGCGCCACTGGCACTTTGAGGGAGGCACCATCACATTGAGGGGCGCCACCGATACTGAAAGGGGCGGCATCATCTTCTTGAGGGGCGGTATCATCACATTGAGATTGGAGGGGCTCCACAGATGCTTAGAAGGGCGGCACCATTACATTGAGTGGGACTACTAACAGATTTAGGGGCGGCACTGTCACATTGAGTTGCGAGACCATCACTTTCTATAGACGGCTGCTTCACTTTAAGAGGCGGCATTATCATTTCGGAGGGCAGCAGCCTCACTATGAATGACGGCACCTAGCCTGCATGTGCCTGCTGCATCCTAGAGGGGGCGGCAACTGGGTCGGCAAACGGCTGTCACTGGGTCGGCATTCTCCGTGACTGGGTCGGCAATTGCCGACCCAGTTAACATGTTAAAATACGCCCTGGTTCAAATGGTTGCTAACTTCGAATTCAGCCCCCAAAAAACTAGCCTAGAAATATGTAAAACTCAAAAAGGTGAACCGAGGTCACCAAAGTTCAATGACCTGACCTGACCTTCAGGTGACCTTGACATCCACCCTAATGCATGGGAGTCACACATGTTTGCAGATGCACATGCACAAGCACATGTTTGAACACTTGAAACCACGAAAGGCTTGCAAACGCTTGGCTAACTGGCTAATGCGAGCTGACATACACCGAATCGCGATTCCGGCCAAACATGGTCTCAGAAAGTAGGTCACAGGTCAAAGGTCATTTGGGTCAGGGGCATGAAAGTTTCAGGGTAGGTGTAACTTGGTCCTGCGAGGGTACTGTAAGTTTTATCTCAATCGGCCGCTTTTTACGCGAGCTATTCGCGAAAAACCTGAGGGGGAGGGTTGCATCAATGATCAACCCCTGTGCCGGCGAGGGTTAAAGGTCACAGCAACACAATTTTTTCCAATACGTTGCTTTAAGAAATGAGTTTAACCTTTGTTCATCTTGCCAGATATGGTAGGTTCGGTTCTTCTCAGGAAAAAGGGCTTAAAACCTCGTATATACTTAGGTATACGGGGGTTGGATAGACCTCTTCTCCCTCGGTTTTTCGCAAATAAATCGTGTAAAAAGCTGCCGATTGCGATATAACTCACATTTTCTTAACCCGCGCCCCACTGGGGGGGGGGGGCTATTCATAGCCCCCCTCCTGTTTTTCTGCAATAACTTCCACACCGCTTGACGTATCGACGCCAAACTTTCAGTACCTTAGGCTGCATCAATTTGACACCTTGTGGGTTAAAGTTTGAACTTCGTAACTACTATAGGTCGGCCGAAAATGACGTCAGAGTGACGTCATGTTCGGCCGATTTCGACGCAAAACATTGAACCACGGCAATCGCTCCCAAGAGCTCAGTTTTTAACCCTCGCCCATGTAGGGGGGGGTTGGTGCAACCCCCCCTGAGGTTTTTCGGAAATAGTGCAAAAACGGCGGCGCGCAGCGCCGCCAAATTTTGGATACCTTATGGGGCAAACCTTGCGCATCTTTTGATAAAAAAAAATTTGACCGGGTCATGTCAGGTCACGGAGTTATGACGTCACAAAGGGAACAGCCTCCGGCCGGATTTTCACAAACTGAGTGCCAACGCCCGAGGTTTCCTGCCGGTGGTACGGAGATCGGTTGATGGATCGTGATGAAACTTCCCATGCATGTTGGGGCAAGTATTGGCTATCATATGGTATAAGAAACTTGACCGGGTCAGGTCAGGTCACGGAGCTATGACGTCACAAGAGGAACAGCGTCCGGTACTATTTTTGAAAAGCGCCCGAACCACTATTTTGCTAATTCTTGTCACCTCAATGGGAATATGCAGCAATATTAGCTTCTATAGGGAGCAAATGGACCTCCCAAATCCAAAAATACAATCAGATTTCTAAAATTTAAATTTTGATTTTTCGAATTTCTGCCGCTGACTGTGACCTTGCCGACTTCCGGCGCTCCCAACGCGCCATTTTTAGAGCTAGGGAAACGAAATACATACCAAACGATAGAGAATTGATCAAGGAACACGATAGTGAAGGTTTCAAGTCGATATCTCCCACCGTTTTGCCGCAATCGCCGCCGAAAGTTGAAAAAAGTCTATTTTTCCGAAAATTTGACCTTTGACCGGTCAAAAGTAGGTCAAATGTTGACCTAGGACCAAAAAATATACCACCAATCGCGAGATCTCGGCGAGAGCAATCCGTTGCTTTTTTCCGCTAAGCTCTACGACGCTCCGTTTTCAAACGCCAAGGGGGGGGGGTCGCACCAACATGGGCGAAGGTGGCAGATCGCCGTTTACGGGCGAGGGTTAAGCTAGATCCAATTTCTTTGCAAGAGAGGACTCAGAATAGACGGCGCTATCAAACTGCTATCTAGAATTTTCGAAATTTTGAAAATTTGAAGAAAAAAATATATAATAAAATCCAAAATTTATATTTTTACATTTTTTTCAAAAAGTTTTTGACTTTTCGAAAAAACCGGAATACATGTGATGGAACACATTATTATGATTAACTCTAGCAAGTTTTAGCTAAATATCTTCAAAAATGGCCAAGTGTTACGCATTATTGCAAAAAATTCACAATTATTAATTTTTCATATCAATTTTTCAGCACGTATTTGACATCGTACGCCAATATAAATAGCACCATCGTGTTCCTGAGCTCAAACTGCATCCAATAGACACCTTATTTGTTGAAAAATTTTAACTTCAAAATTTGACCTTTTTTGACCTGAAAGTAACCTGACCTAAGCTAAATTCGACTCAAAATGACCTCGAATGACACAGACGACATCAAATTCGAAATCTCTGACCTAAATGGACCATAAAACATGTGTCACGTGACCGACGCATGATGTAATATTGTCGTGACCTGTGATGACCTGACCTTGACCTGAAAATCAAAGTACAAGTTTGGTACCCTCAGGGTAACTAGAGCATCTGTTCCCGAGTGTGTGATCCAAAAATGAGCCTGATCTGACTTGTAAGACGGCGGCCAGAGCCCAAAACGTGAACAAGCCAAAATGCTAATACCTAATTTTTACTTTGACCTGACCTGTGACGTCATCGGTGACCTCGAGGTCAATGAAATTAGATTTCGCTCGACACTTTTTCCGGAGCTATCAAACGCCGTTTGAATTTTGACGATCGGCCCAGTAGTTTCGGAGTTAGGAGGGGGGCTATGAATAGCCCCCCCCCCCCAGTAGGGCGTGTTATACGCAGACCCCAGTGGGGCGCGATTCTAGCAATGTGTCATCTACCTTGAAAATTTGATGACCTTTACCCAATGACCTCTGACCTACAACCTGATACATTTGACCCCTGCAAGAATGTACAATTGTCCCCGTCGCGCCGTGACATTTTCTAGACGAAACTGGCGCAAAAAGATGTTGCACGGACAGCATCTAATGCTTTCAATTTATGGACAACACAGCAGGCCTGTTCTAGTCTTAAGTCGATATCTTTGCAATTGCGGGAATGAGCTAAGCAAATATAACGGTATAAATATTCACAAAATGCTCTGAAAAAAACATTACTGTGCACAGCCATCGACACAAGCTGCACTTTCGCTTCAAACTCCGTTGGGAACAGGAAAAGGCAGAATAGAATGTTTTATTTTCGGTCTTAACATCAGCTTCTTCTATTGGTAAGTTTATGAATTATTAACACTCTTACAATTGCCCCGTGTTATATTTGACCCCGCTCTCCCCTAAACATGACATGGAAAAATGCTACCCATAATCCCTTTTTATGTCCCTAGACCCAAGGTCATCTCAGGTCAATAAAGGTCTTCAGCAATTGACAATAACTTTTGATAAGAGACGTAATAGAGCGATGAAAACAACTTCTATCGTTGTTCACGACGACGATACGGATCGACTGAAATGCACCATGACCTTTGCCGGTCAGGTCATGAACTTTACCTTATGTCGAACTTTCAAAATGATCTATGTCAATGCAGCTATCTATGATCTATGATCTATGTCAAAATCAAAATGTCAAATTGCAGCTTACAGACGCTTACAAATTACAGACGCTTCTCGACGAGAGGAACGCGATGCCGACAAAAGAATTGTGGTGCCTTCGTAAAAATGGCCCAATGAAACGGTTTGAATGTGAAAACAACTGAACTGATGCGTAAAAACGCATCAGCATTGGAGACCGGAGTCAACGAAACAACTGAACCTCACAACATGCAACATGACATATAGTCCTTTATTGTTACAACATGCCTCATTCAACACGATTTCGGAAGCTTAGATCCCTAAAACAGTCGAACAAAAACATTGAAGCGGGGCTACAAAGATATGTGGCAAGCGTATACCTACTTGACAAATGGTAAACGATTCACAATTAATCGCCGGGAAGTGCGCAAATTTAAAAACCACTGCCTAGGCGAGTTGTGTTGAAGGACCAGCTGCAAACTTACAAAATGTTGCTTTCTTAAATCGCTATTTTCAGTGCTTGCACCTTTAACACGTCTTCCACCCGTTATAAGAAGCGAATTATCATCCATCGTCCCGTTTGTTGAGCACATCGGGCGGCATCCGCTGACCCCATATGCACGCGCAGTGAAAATTGTCACCTGAGATCTACGTCCTACTGTTCCACGGTTCGCAGCGCGGGCGGCCGATCCTCTTATGACAGCGGTGGGGTCGTCAGCCCGATCACGCGCGGGGCGGCAGTGGAGGGCCAGGGAGCCCGGTTCTGTGGCCGGCTGAAGGGGGACCCGGCTCTGTAGTTAGTTGTTCGAACTGGCCAGCTGCAGAGGAGCTGCCGTAAGATGAGAACGTCCGCCGTCGGCAAGCGGGAGCCCACGGGCGACGCTGTAAATCGCGAGTATAGATAAGGTGGCATTCCACAACCTTATGTTCAGCTACATCAGTCTGTCAAGTCCCGAACAACACGCCAAACATACTTTACGACAATGCCAAGGGAACGAAAATCCAACACAGTTCACTGCATTGTTTAGGGTCAGTTTCATCTGATATTTTCCACAAAGTGGACTCTGTGTATGAGGGTGCAGCAGTCCGCACCGTGGGGTATGACTCCGGGAAGACAGGTCTGGCACCTGTGCGCTCCCTCAGCAGACGTCACCAACACTCCCCAACTCCATAAACTCACCACTCGCCGGCCATCCAAACTCACCACACCGCACCAACATCACCGTATAACGTCCAACATCACCAGTTGTCACAACCGATATGGGTGTCCGCCCGTCCCCCGGCTAGCGCCGCTATCTATCTCAGACGGCGCCGCCGACCGCCTTCAGTTCTGTGAACACGTCCGTGAAGAACCTCGGGTCGGCGTTGATCCGCAGCATGGGCCCGCTCAGCCGGCCGATCATGTCCACACACCGGTCCCAGAAACGCTCGCGTTTGCCGTCCACCAGAAACGGCTTCAGCGGGTACGATATCTGCCGGAACACAGAGAAAGAGCTTTTGGTTAGTTTACTGTATGGTTGACGTTTCATAGCGTGCAGGTAGGAATCAACGGTCTGGTCTGGTCTGTTTTGGTCTGGTCTGGTCTGGTCTGGCCTGATCCGGTCTGGTCTGATCCATGGTCAGGGAGTACCTTTATAACCTAAAAGTTATATTGATTGACTGCCGAATGTTGTTATTCTTTCAATCAATCGGTTCAATTGATGGATTGTGAATGGATAAACTACCATAATTCATCCATTTCAATCACGATATGGTTGTATTATACTCGTGTACTCGTATTGTATTCAGGGCTGCGGAGTCGGAGTCGGAGTCGGAGTCGGAGTCGGAGTTGGAGTCGGTTGGAGTCAACAGTTCTGCCCGGAGTCGGAGTCGGAGTCGCCAAAATTATGCCGACTCCGACTCCGGAGTCGCAGTTAACGCCGCATGGGTCGACGTTATGTCCTGCACCTATTTGCCGTTGACGATACAGCGCTCGAAATTAGATTTTGTCGAAATAAGGCAATTTTGTTGTATCGGACGAACGTTTTCAGCGAAAGAAGTAGAAGAAGGTGAATACCCCAGAACCTGCTTTTTAATTATGCGTGCTATTTTTAATACATATTTTGCAACGCAAAGTCTTGGAACGCATAAGGGATCGTTTCAGGCAAGATAAAAACATCCCCATTATGAACTTCAATACCATGATATGGATTTTTAAATAGAACCGTCAGGAGTCGGAGTCGGAGTTGGAGTCGGAGTCGGAGTCGATTTTTGAAGCCGGAGTCGGAGTCGGAGTCGGAGTCACCCTAAAATCCATCGACTCCGCAGCCCTGTGTATTACTATAGATTTTTGCACATCCAGGCCCATCCACCCACACTGGCATACTATGTGATCATGGCAGGTATTTACGTAACTGTCAGATGGTATGATGCGGTTAGGAGGGGTCATATGATAGTCATTAGTCAATGCTCCGTGTTTTCCAAGATAATATCGAGACTCGGGGATCACGCTAGGCTGAAATTAACGCCAGGTCATAGGGGAAAACACAGCTTATACAACAGCTCAGCACATCTATAGCTGATGAATATTTCCATGCATAAAGGCAGTCAGACATGCCTTTAACTGCTTGCTTAACCCGCGCCGTGCTCGGGGGGGGGGGGGGTTACGCCCCCCCCCCTCTCAGGGTTTTCGCGAATATCTAAAAAAACGTTTTTGGTACACACTACACCTGTTTAGTGTTTATACATTTTTTTCACACATGGTGTGAAAATTTCAGACCCGGGTCGTCCAAACTCAGGTCACCAGGTCACGTCAAGTGATCTCACCCCAGAAAAAAAGTTCAAAGGCTGGCTACAGCTACACCGACTGTTCGATCACTTTGAAACATTCAGCGATTGATGAAAATAGCAGTATGTATAAAATGTATATCTCGGATTTTCGATATCTGTGACCTAAGGTCAGATCAATTTTGCGACTCACAAGTCAAAGGTAGAAAGTTGAAATGCGCCTCTTTTGGACGAATGTCGATCAAAACCCTCTCAAACATCGGTTGATAGGTAAACATGACACACTGAATCAGAAAAATGCACCTGTGACCCCTCTGTGTACCCCTGAGGTCATCTCAGGTCATGAACGGTCACCAGCAGTTTTTTTTTTTTGCTATAACTTTTGATAGAGACGTGCTAGAGCGGCGAAAACACGTCAGATGTGTTCAGCTCGACGATACGGATCGACAGATATGTAACATGACCCTTTCTGGCCAGGTCATAACTTTGACCTGAGGTCAAATTTTCAAAATTACCTTTCACGTTCAATGTATAGCTCATTCGACGCGTCTGGACGAGAGAAACACGATGCTGCCAAATGTAATGTACACTGAGAAAACGATTTGAGAACATTCCTCGGAGCTTCTCTGTGAAGCCCGGTGCTCGTTCTCAAAGGCTTCGGAAACAGCAATGCTCGATCTCATCCTCATGCTAAATCTTTTTTTTAGACAAGCTCTCTTGGAGCCGGACAACCTTCTTAACTACATACGCTTGGTCTCATCTGAAACCGAAATATGATTTATTCTACCGTGAGAACAACTTGAGGCCGACATACCCCTTCCCCTCTCTAGCTCTCTTGAGTCAAAATGTTTTATAAAACCTTTTGACTGTATACAGTGTCGTGAAAACGGCTATTTTCACAGTTTTTGCCCTCTAGAGGCTAAACCGTTAACCTGAGGTGAAATCTGAGAACAATATTTAGAAAGGTCTGTAAAAGGGCTATCGAATGCGTTTTCCGCGGCGATGCATGGCTCTATTGGTTCCCGAGTTAGCCGTTGGTAGTTTCAAAAATTGCTGAAATGGACTAAATTTGACCTTTGATGACCTCTGGTGAGTGGTGACGTGACCTTTGACATGACCTAAAAATGGCCAATGTTTTTCCGTCATTATTTTGACGCTCTTTTGGTTGCAGCTTACCGCATGTCGCTACGCTACCCAGGAGCCGAGTTAGAGGGGGGGGGCGTGAAAACGCCCTCCCCCCCTCCAGCACGACACGGAAAACACGGACACAGGTAAAACGGCGCGGGTTAGCATAGTAAACGTTAGCTAACTATATCACATGCTGAAATCATTGCAACAAACGGCATGTCAGCTGCCAATAAAACAGTATACATTAGATTTTCATATGCATCGTCGAATATTTTTTGTTCACAATAAGTCGAAGAGGGGAAACAAATATCGCCGTTTTTTGCAATATTGTATGTCAATGCAGGGTAACTAAACTATCACGAGCTTATATTGGCATGCACGGTGCCATGAAGAGATGTTAGCTACATAGCTATAATCCCTGTCAGGGTCTGACGCCTTCATTGCCATATCTATCTCACGTCTCTGACCCATTTGAACACTCTGACCCATCTCTGACGCCTCGTCACCATCGGAACCTTGCAAGTTTTCCTGTCGTCAGGGGCGCACTGAAGACCCGCAAAGGCTCCTCACGTTTGGGAAAGCCGCTGTAAATGTGACTTATTAGCCGGCACACGTTTCCTGTGTTTTGCCATTCTCACAGAGACCAGACCAGATACATCAGACGAATCATTTTTTTTTTAACTGAAAGGTCTTTAAAATCATGTAATCATTTGCACATCCAAAAAGGCTGCAATGGGGGCTGAGCTGCGGTACAGTTTCCCGCATTGCTAGTTCCGAAATTCCTCGCATTTTGGTTCCTTTTACACTGGTGAGCAATTCAACGCCACCTTTTGCCAATCTAAATGCACGTTCTTTGTGAAAAAGTACCAATCACATCAGTTCCTTTTTGTGCGAGATAAACGACAAGAATTGCACGCTCCGCGACAGATAAAGAGGCCGAGGGTGCATTTGTCCTGTTTAGTGCTTACCATGCATCCACCGGTGTTGAGCGATAATATATGATCTCATTTCCGTGCAGTCACGAGCAGCCACACCACATAGGTAAATACTTTGTATACAAGTGTCGATATAGGTAAATGTCGGAATATAGAAATAGTAGTCTTGATAGAAAGGTCTTATGTCAATGTGCTTACAGCATCTCATAATGCAACTCTAAGTGATGTTTTAGTTCCTAATTGACGGCGTGTTCGGCGGCAGAGCTCACCTCGTTGCCCATGTTTTAGAAGTAGGAAGTTTAATTTGGTGGCCCGGCTCTCACAACGTTGCCCAGGAAGGAGTAGTGTAGAATATTCAAAGAGGATTGTGATTACTAACGGGAGGTGCGCATTTATTTAAGCTCTACAGAAAAAGAGTATGTTTGTCAAAAGTATGCGTGCAGCGAATGTGTGTCACAAGAAATTGAGAATGATAAGTGGCTAGAGAGAGCGAATGATTTTGGAGAGAATAGAAAAAGCATTTGAATCGTAGACTTTTATTTTTGATATTAATTTGAGTAATTTGAGTTGCTAGACACAGTGACGTAGCACATTGAGTAAAAATGATATTAACGTAATTTGCTTAACTGAAGTTGAATTGAAACCTTAATAAGGCAATCATAAGTGGAAAGACTCAACATTATGGCGACCCTGGCAGGACTCAAAGAATACTTGGAACTGGCCGAGAAGTATGGTTTAAGCGGCGAATCAGCCTTGAAGTATGCGAACGAGCAGGTAGACAGGGCAGAGAGGGCAAAGGCAAGACAAGATGAAAGAGAAGAAAAGGCAAGACAAGAAGAAAGAGAAGAAAAGGCAAGACAAGAAGAAAGAGAAGAAAAGGCGAGAAAAGAAGAAAGAGAAGACAAGACAAGACGAGAAGAAAGAGAAGAGCGAGAACTCTTAAGACGACATGAGCTGGAAATGGAGCGATTGAGATTGGAGAGAGCAGAATTAGAGAGCACCGGTGGTTCCAGGGAGCCGCAGCAGCCGAGCGAGCCTGCCCATTCAGTGCCGGCCGTCAAGCGACCCAAACTGCCTGCGTTTACGGATGGCAAGGATGATCTTGACAGCTACCTTAACCGATTTGAGCGACTGGCCAGAGTAAACGGATGGGACGAATCGGAATGGGCTGTCAGTCTCAGCGCTTTGCTGTCAGGTCGAGCGCTCGAAGTTTACACCCGAATGAAGGAGGATGACGCAAACGACTACATGAAACTGAAGTCGGCTCTCCTGCACAGGTATGGCCTCACTGGGGAAGGCTACCGGCTAAGAATGCGTGATGCCAAGCCGGAGCCGGATGAGAGCCCCCAGCAGTTTATTTTTCGTCTGGCTAGTTACCTAGATAAATGGATCACGCTGACTAAAACTGATCAGTCATTCGATGGTCTGAAAAACTTGATCATTCACGAACAGTTTATGAACACCTGTCCCAAGCCCCTCGCCATCTTTTTGCGAGAAAAGGCCACCTACTGCTTAGATGAGCTAGCTGAGTACGCGCAAAGGTTCTTGGAAGCCCATGATCGGTCTCCCAGCAGTCTGAGTAGGCGTGCGACGGTCACGGAAGACCATACCGCGCACGCACCATCCAGAACCACTAGCTCAGC